TCAAACGCGGTCACATCATCTTATCAAAGCTCACGCCATACGTGATCACATGACGGCGTCAGGTTGACGCTTACATGAAGTCGTTTTTCGAGATGACACGTGAACATCTGGCCTGTTTTCATGTTCAGCTCGTGTTTTGGTTCATGCTGCAGACTCATCTCGCCATCATGTAGATGTTTACAATAATCACCTTTCCAGTCACCTCCATGCTCCCCTCCTAACATGTCTCCTCCCACTCTCCTCCTGCAGATCCCTCAGATCAGCTACGCCTCCACGGCGCCGGAGCTGAGCGACGACCGGCGGTACGACTTCTTCTCTCGGGTGGTCCCTCCGGACAGCTTCCAGGCTCAGGCCATGGTGGACATCGTCAAGACCATGGGCTGGAACTACGTCTCCACGGTGGCGTCGGAGGGCAGTTACGGCGAGAAGGGCGTGGATGCCTTCATGCAGCTCTCCAGAGAGGCGGGTAAGGTCTGCACGAGCTGGTGATAAGCTGTAAGGTGGGGGTCAGGGGTGGGCTTAAAGCGCTGTTTTTACACTTCTGCATTTAAGACAGGCGTCCAATCAGAGCGGTGTTGTGATGAGGGCGTGAAACATTTGCTGCCGTTAGCGCGGGCGTTTGACGTGACGTCAGGTCGTCTCTTTGGGCTGCAGGACGAAGGTTTCACTCGTCAGTTTAGGAGATTCCAGGTTGCTTCCTGAACCTGACCAATGGGCTCCTACCACCTGTCGCCTGGAAACTGCGTGCTCAGACACCCGTGGACTGTTTGTGGCCTGCAGCAGGTCCACGACACTCGACCCTGCTTTTACTAACCGCGTGCTGGCGGCGCCGTCAGACACTCGTCCTGCAAACACCGAAGAAGCCGAACAAACTGTTGAGGAGCTGGAGCGGCGTTCATTAGAGCGCGTGGCGCCGCTGATTGCTCTCTGAATAATCTCCTGACATTTGCAGCCATCGGATGGCTCTTCACAGCTCACCGGTTAGGATGCGTCCTGACATTTATGCTCTGCGTTTTTTAGATTATTAAAGGACGCGGCGCCGACGGGGAGCGTCTTTAACGCCAAACGGTTTCCCAATGTTTCTACATGGATGGAGCCCGGGTCATCGATCTGCGCTGGCTTTTGAACGGCGTTCGGATGAAATGAACGGCACGGCGGTCGTCCGGTGTCACCCGAGCAGAACTCGCCCTCTTCATCTGCACCGCCGCCTCCTCTCAGGCTTAATCTCCCACAGCCTCCTGGCTTCAAAGGGAATACAGCAATCAGCGGGAATGAGAGGAGCAGCCGCTCAGTGCTGCAGGATGTCACTGCAGAGTCGTCACTATATTTAGGAAATATATAGAAACTGATGTAGAACAAATCCTGAATGTGTGATGGATGCTTGGAGCTCGCGGGTGGTGTTGCAGTGAGCTGCTGTTCCTGGTCCTGCCTGCGTCCAACCAGGTGTGAGCATCTGCAGCTTAACAGTCACTTTATCCTTGATCCATCCACTTCCTCTTCCTGTCACATGACGTGCAATTAGTGACGCTCAATGGGATCATTTGCTTCAAGCACGTCCTCCTCTGTAGCCTGGTGGTGTATGTTGCCTCCACCTTCAGCAGGAGCAGGTTTCTAGTCTGTGTGGAGCCGGCACCAACAGCTGGCCCCGCCCACTGGCTGCTGCTGACTGAATCCTGGCCTGAGGCTGGCGTGCTGCTCTCGCTGTCGGACATGGCTGCTCTCATGATGTTTGTAACCAGCTGAATGTTTTGGTCAAACCTCCTTAAAGACGCTGCTCCTGGTTGCAGAGGTGCTCTGTTTGTTTTTGGGTTTCCTCCACGCTCGGCTCGCTGTGCATCGCTAACTCATTCGTCCAACTTTAACACTGAGTCAGCGCGCCGCTTTCAGCAAACACAAGTGAGACTTCTGCACTAATGAGCAGCATCTGAGAAAAACTTCATCCCAAAGCTGCTAATTCCTCTGTTCCAACAGAGAAACATTTAAACAGCCTCTAAAAATAGTTGAAAGTAAAGAGACGAACTCATTAGGA